AGCGGCCACCGCACTCCAGTCTGGGCGACCGAGTGAGACTCCAACTCAAAAACAAACAAACAAACAAAAACCAGATAGTACATATTTTAGGTTTATGGTGCAATGACTTTGAAGCAATGACTCAACTCCGCCACTGCAGCGCAGAGGCAGCCCAAGGGAACACGCAAACAGATGGGCATGACTGTGTCCAATAAAGTTATTTACAATAACGGGCATCCAGCCTGCCAGGCATAGTTTGCCAAACCCTGCTGTAGTTAGTAAGTATACTTTTCATGAGTAAACTAAATGAGAAATTGTGAAATTATTGCATGTATATTCTAAGATCAAGGAAATATACTGTGAATATGAGTCAGGTTTCTCACTCTCTGAAATGGCAGCACAAATATGGAATGGAAAGAAATTTGTGTACAAGTATATATACACATACACATTCATACAATAAAATATTAGCAAATGAGGACCAGACGCAGTGGCTCAAACTTGTAATCCCAGCACTTTGGGAGGCTGAGGCAAGAGGATTGCCTGAGCCCACGGGTTCGATCAAGACCAGCCTGGGCAACTTGGTGAGACCTCGTCTCTACAATAAATAAATAAATTAGCTGGGTATGGTGGTGCATGCCTGTAGTTCCAGCTACTTGGAAGGTTGAGGCAGAAGGATTGCCTGAGCCCAGCAGGTCGATGCTGCGGTGGCTGTCAGCCTGCCCCTGCATTCCATCCTGGATGGAAGAGTGAGACTTCAAATAAAAAAAATAAAAATAAATAAAAAAAATATATATATTTATAAACAAATGAGAAATTTGATTGAAAATATACAGAGAAATTATTTGTACTATTTAAAGCTTTTCCTTCTGAAATAATTTCAGACTTTTATAGAAAAGTTTAAAAGAATTTAAAAACTTCTTACTGCTCTATATTTTCTTGGACACTATTGAGTGGTTTCTGGATATTTTCACACTTTTCCTCCAAAGCACAGAATCTTTCTGTCCAAAGATTGATTAACTGGCAAAGTTCCTGTAAGAACGGTATGGAAATAAAACACACTTAAAATTTTAATACTTTAACAATTTTTCTATATTTGATGACAGGAAGTAACCTCAATTAGTGAGAAATACACAAATTCTTGACAAGAAATCTTTTATTCCACCTCTTTCCCATAAAGGAAAGCAGTGGAAGATAATAAAAGAATAACAGAGGGGGCCAGATGTGGTAGCTTGTTCCTGTAATCCCACCATTTTAGGAGGCCAAGGCAGGAGGATCACTTGAGGTCAGGAATTCAAGACTAGTCTGGGCAACGTAACGAGGTCCCACCTCTACAAAAAAATAAAAAATTAGCTAGGCATGGCGGCACACACCTGTAGTCCTAGCTACTTTAGAAGCTGAAGCAGGAGGATTGCTTGAGCCTGGAATTCAAAGTTGCATTCAACTCTGACTACACCACTGCACTCTAGTCTGGGATTTTTTTTTTTTTTTAAGTTGGAGTCTCACTCCATTACCCAGGTTGGAGTGCAGTGGCATGCTCATGGCCACCCTAGCATCGACCTGCTGAGCTCCAGCAATCCTTCCACCTCAGTCTTCCAAGTAGCCAGAACTATAGATACATGCTACCACGCCCTGCTAATTTTTTTGATTTATTGTAGAGATGAGGTCTAGCCAAGTCGCCCAGAGTGTTCTCGAATCCATGGGCTCAGGCAATCCCCTAACCTCAGCCTCCCAAATTGCTGGGATTATAGGCTTCAGCCACCAGGACCGGCCGGACTTCTTTTTCAAAAAGCAAATTATTAGCAAGTTTTGCTATTTTAGCTATTATTATAGTAACAAATTACTTTGGTGTACCTCAAAACTAATCAAAAAAACCCAGATGTCACATTGTTTAGTAACTACTTTAATAGATACATACTGTTACTTTTTTAAATAACACTACTAGAAGAAAAAAATTAATGATTACCTAGTAATAGCAATCCAAACATATTATCAATTACTGGAGCTAAAAAGCTTTACAGAACGTAGGTGGATCATATTAATGAAATGTAAATAGAGTCTTATCTTTGCTTATATTTGACACCTTAAAAAAAGTTCTTATGGCATATAAACATGCTACATTGCAAAATAAAGAAGGTATGCTAAAGACCCAGGAAGAGCTAAAAATGCAATTCTTATTCACTGTTCTCTCTGGCATAGCTCTGAGTAACACATCAGCAGACAATCCATGACTAACATTCAGATCATGAATAAAGTCTGTCAGTATTTTTACTAATTTCAAAGCAGGTGGTAATGCAGGTATTATCAGATTTATCTACATATAATTATGTGTTCAAAGTTTTACATAATTTTTGATTAGCGCTCACTTCAAGTTCTGGAAAACCTGAGAAACAGTTCACATAGGAACTTGCTTCCTTAAATCAAGGACAGTTGAACCATTCATGCTAAGATACTTTTCAGGTTTTCTTTTGGCTTTTTTTTTAAAATAGTTGCCTACCACTTTTAAGCATTTCAAAACAGTTAATTTATTTTAAAAAGCTATCAGCCTTAGAATATATACCTAAAAAGTTCTTGATAGGTTTAAGGCAAATATTTTGTGCTGAAACTTCAAATTGCCAAAAAACATTTAGAAGGGTCACTCAAGCCGGGCTCGGTGGCTCAGCCTGTAATCCCGCGCCTTTGGGAGGCTGAGGTGAGTGGATTGCCTGAGCCCGCGGGTTCGAGACCCGCCTGGGCAGCGAGACCTCATCTCTACAATAAATCAAAAAATCAGCCGGGCGTAGTAGCGCATGCCTGTAATGCTGGCTACTCGGAAGGCTGAGGTGGAAGGATCGCCGGAGCCCAGCAGGTCAAGGCTGCGGTGGCCAGGAGCGGCCACTGCACTCCAGTCTGGGCGACAGAGTAAGACTCCAACTCCAAAAAAAAAAAAAAAGAAGAGTCACTCAAAAATGGCTGCTTTATAGGCAATATAATCAATACCACCATCTATAAGATAATTTAAATACTGTTAGATGCTCACAAGGTCTTAGTTTTCACATTAGAAAACTGAGTTAGAGCCGGGCTCGGTGGCTCAGCCTGTAATCCCGCGCCTTTGGGAGGCTGAGGTGAGTGGATTGCCTGAGCCCGCGGGTTCGAGACCCACCTGGGCAGACGAGACCTCATCTCTACAATAAAATCAAAAAATTAGCCGGGCGTGGTAGCGCACGCCTGTAATTCCGGCTACTTGGAAGGCTGAGGCGGAAGGATCTCCGGAGCCCAGCAGGTCGAGGCTGCGGTGGCCGGGAGTGGCCACTGCACTCCAGTGTGGGCAACAGAGTGAGACTCCAACTCAAAAAAAAAAAAAAGAAAACTGAGTTAGTAGCAGAATTTATATCTATACAGGGAGGAGAAACAAACACATAGTGAGTTATTCAATAAATGTTAACTTTTGCAAGAGTTCAATAAATGTTAACTATTGTAAAGAGTTGCGGCCAGGCATAGTGGCTCACACCTATAATCTCAGCACTTAGGGAGGTGAAGGTGAGAGGATTATTTGAACCCAGGGGTTTGAGACTAGCCTGGCCTATTTGGCGAGACTTCATCTCTATAATAAATCAAAAAAAACTAGCCAGACGTGGAGGCACAGGCAGGTCAAAGCTGCAGTGGCCAAGCGTGTGCCACTGCGCTCTAGCCTGGGTGACAGAGTGTGTGTGACTGAAAAAAAAGAATTGTCATGTCATAATACGCTGATTTAATAAAATTTTAAGCTTTCATTGCTAAAGCATTAAGAATACTCTAAGTTGTTTTCTGTATATCAAATATTTATAAATTATGGTTTAGAGGTTTGGTTTTGGTTTAAACCCTTATTGGTATACTGAGAAATAGATAACAGAGGAACATAAATCATTAATTACATTTATAGTCAATTGATAAAAATTAAATATTGTATTAATTTATCACATTTTTTTTTCAGTCAAAGTCTCACTCTGTCACCCAGGCTGGAGTGCAGTGGCATGCTCACAGCCACTGCAGCCTCGACCTGCTGGGCTGAGGTGATCCCTCCTCAGGCTTCCAAGTAGCTGGAACAACAGATGTGCATCACTACACCTGGCTGATTTTTTGTATTTATTGTAGAGATGAAGTCTTGACAGGTTGCTCAGGCAGGTCTCGAACCCCTGGACTCAGGCAATCCTCTTGCCTCCGCCTCCCAAGGTGCTGGGATTACAGGTGTTAGCCACCATGACTTTAAATGTCTGTCACCATTGAGACAGAAATAATAAGCAGGGCTTCATTTTTAAAAGATAATCACTATTTAGTGTCATCCTAGACCGAAACAACTAATCAAGCTATAAGGTAGATACATGTCCACTTTAAACGTTACAGCCATTTTTCTCCAAAGGTCTGTTTTCCCAGATTCATCTTTTGCCTCAATGTGAGAAAAGGACTGTTTTATCATACTGTGCTTCAACATAAGGTCCTACTTGTAGCAAATCCTCAAATATTAAGAGAAGTATTCTCAATTATTTTACTTAATTACTGTTATAAGCAACAGTGGCTATGGTATTCTCAGGTTTTTAAATTCGTTTTACAGCATTCAGATTGGGTAACATAATAATCAAGTTATGGTGAAACCCTCTTTCCACACTCCCAAGTCACCTAAACAAGATACCTGTGAATGAGTTTGCTTTATTGTCTTCAGGTCTTCAGTTAAGTTTCCACATAGCTTCTGTGATTCAACCAAGGAAGAAACTGTATTTTCTTGTAGTTCATGTAGATTGTTACACAGTGTACTGAAAAAGCTATCCATTTCCTTCTTCTGATCTTCCATCTTTGAAGAAAAAAAAATTAGCTTCCTTCTTAGGCAATACATCAACTTTGAGATATTAAGAATATAACATTTTGTTACCTTATCAGCCACTGCCGATGAAGCCTTGAAAATATGCTTCAGTTGAGTATTGATTTTCAATATAGACACCACAGTGGGGGACAAAATCATTTCCAATGAACTTAGAAGGTCAGTCTTAAGTATATTCTGGATTTAAAATAAACAAATAGGTCTTTTAAAAGAATATCTTCACTTCCATAAATATTAAATTGATAATATCTTAAGTAATTTGGTAGCTAAACATGCACATTAAAATTCTAGGTTTCCATAATCTATTCCCTATAAACAACAGAGAGAAACTCTAGTAATCGAGAAAACGCAGTGTAGAACAATTTCTTAGCAGCCTAATGAAAGAGGTCAGAAGAATTCAGAAGAGGGGAAAATAAGTTTATTGATAAGATTTTAGAATTCTAAACAAAGAAAAAATTTTTTTAATCCTACAGGTTAACAAAATAAATTTCAAACAAGTTTAGGTTAACTAGTCAGAAAGGCTAAGACCAACTAGTCATCAAGAGTAGCCTAACTTTGAAGATCTGATGCTTTGTATTCTATCGTATCAGAACTTGTGACGGTTCTTGTTCTTGTCAAGAATACAGAATATAGTACAGGTTGGAAATTTTTATTAAAAAAAAAAAATCCTAACCTAAGCTCCTTTTGCAGGGCAGAGGTAAGGAACTATCACAGAATTAGTAAATACTTAAAAGGCTACTGGTACTCTTTTGGAAAGAAGAGCTATCATACTAATTTCAACTAATTCTGTGAGAGCAATATTCGTCTCTTCTTTGGACTCAAGCAATCATTTTAATGTGACAGGGAGAAAGACATCGGGACAGGCGAACTTCATTTTATTGTGCTTCACTTAATTACAGACACTGCATTTTTTACAAATTGAAGGTTTGTGGCAACTTTGCATCAAGCACATCAATTTGTGCCTCTTTTTTTTTTTTCTTCTGCTTTTTAGAAAGAACCAGGTGCACTGCTCAAAGTTCTGCCACTGGAAACAGTTTTTCTTCACTACTGTCCTTCAGGGGTATCCCCCAAAGGGGCTGCAACTATCCACACAAAGTTTCAGTGGTGCCTGTATATCCTACAGAACCATCTGTACATCTGGCTCAAATTTCTTTTTCTTCATTCAACTTATCATAGAGTGCTGGGGGGGGGGGGGGGGGAAGGGGGGGGGGGGGGG